GAAGGGACCTTGGAGGTCATCGAGTCCAACCCCCTGCTCAGGCAGGAAACCCTGTACCATTTCAGACAAATGGCTGTCCATTCTCTTCTTAAAAACTTCCAGTGTTGGAGCATTCACCGCTTCTGGAGGCAGGTTGTTCCACTGGTTAATTGTTCTAACTGTCAGGAAGTTTCTCCTTAATTCTAGGTTGCTTCTCTCCTTGATTAGTTTCCACCCATTGCTTCTTGTCCTGCCTTCAGGCGCTTAGGGGAATAGCTTGACTCCCTCTTCTTTCTGGCAGCCCCTGAGATATTGGAACACTGCTATCATGTCCCCCCTCGTCCTTCTCTTCATTAAACTAGACATACCCAATTCCAGCAGCCGTTCCTTATATGCTTTAGCCTCCAGTCCCCTAATCATCTTTGTTGCTCTTCTCTGTACTCTTTCTAGAGTCTCAACATCTTTTTTACACAAGTTAAGGAAAATGGCTGCATCTCCATATGTTGTCAAAGCAAGAACATTCAATGTTAGCAGCGTTGACAATATCCTTATGCTAGCTATACTTTGCATTATTACATATTGTATGTATATAACAGTACATTATTAACATAATAGCATTGATACATTAATGTATATATACAACATTAATGTAACATTAATGTATGTACACATTATTATGTATATATATGTCTGTGTGTTTGTGTCTGTGTGTGTTGTACATGATTAAGACACATCTCCTTGGATTCCTAACACTCTTAAAACAAGTGATGTGGCAAGCTTATATTCAGTAGAAAAGACTGAAATAAGATAGATGTCATTTTGTCGACATTTCCTTTTCCTTGTCCTTTTTCTTTTGGATGAACTGACTCCAGGAATTAGTTATTCCCCTGGTCCTTTCCCTATTTAATTCAATTACTGGCCTTTAATTCATCAGGTTTCTTGAATGTAAATTTCACACGCTGCACTCGCTAAAGATACCTGCTTGCAGATGGGTAGGGCAGGTGTTGTTTGAAGTACATGGGACCATCTGGCAGCTGACTTCACCACCAATGCCCTAAATGAATGGGAGAAAATGTTTAGATCGAGTTACAACCTGCTGCTCAACATCAAGAAAACCAAGATCATGGCATCCGGCCCTCTCAATTCCTGGCAAATAGATGGGGAAGAAATGGAGGTAGTGACAGATTTTATTTTCCTGGGCTCCAAGAGCACCTCAGATGGGGACTGCAGCCAAGAAATTAAAAGACGCTTGCTCCTGGGGAGGAAAGCTATGGCAAATCTAGACAGCATACTAAAAAGCAGAGACATCACCCTGCCAACAAAAGAGCGTATAGTCAAGGCCATGGTTTTCCCAGCTGCAATGTATGGATGTGAAAATTGGACCATAAGAAAGGCTGAGCGCCAAAGAATGGAGGCCTTTGAACTATGGTGCTGGAGAAGACTCCTGCGAGTCCCTTGGACTGCAAGGTGATCAAACCGATCAGTCCTAGAAGAGATCAATCCCGACTGCTCTTTAGAAGGCCAGATCTTGAAATTGAAACTCAAATACTTTGGCCACCTAATGAGAAGGAAGGACTCACTGGAGAAAGGCCTAATGCTGGGAAAGATGGAAGGTAATAAAAGAAGGGGATGACAGAGAATGAGGTGGCTGGATGGAGTCACTGAAGCAGTAGGCGTGAACTTTAATGGACTCCAGAAGATGGTAGAGGACAGGAAGGCCTGGAGGAATGTTGTCCATGGGATCGCGATGGGTCGGACCTGACTTCGCAATTAACAACAACAACAACCTGCTGGGTATTTTCTCCTTGCTTTCCACTTGCATCAAGTCCCCGAATTAGACAGGTGGATCGAAAAGCACATCCCGTAACATAGCAATGACCTTGCATTGCTATGCTGGCTTTTAACAGTCATAGACTATTTTTTAAAAAAAATTGTACCTCTCTCTTAAAGTACACAAACCTTCCATTTTTACACAACCTTAAGCTTGTCTTTGGTCACAAACCAGTACAGGTAGTCCTTGACTTAAAACAATTCATTTAGTGACCATTCAAAGCTACGGCACTGGAAAATGTGACTTATGACCATTTTTCACACTTACGACCATTGCAGCATCCCCATGGTCACGTGATCAAAATCCAGATGCTTGGCAACTGACTCGTATTTATGACGGTTGCACTGTCCCGGGGTCACACGATCAACTTTTGTGACCTTCTGACAAGCAAAGTCAATGGGGGAGCCAGATTCGCTTAACAGCCATGTTATTAACTTAACTGCAGTGATCCACTTAGCAACTGTGGCCAGAAAGGTCGTAAAATGGGGCAAAACTCATTTAACAAATGTCTCACTGAGCAATATAAATTTTGGGCTCAATTGTGGTTGTAAGTCGAGGACTACCTGTACATTTTAACAAAATCTCTGAATCGCCCTAGTTTTTTTTTTTAATGAATTAATCATTACAATCCCACCCCAGTGAATTAAAGCAGACTTTTTCACACCTTTTTCAGGTGTCTCCAAACCTGGCCACTTTAAGACTTGTGGGCTTCAACGGCCAGAATTTCTCAGCCAACCCAATCGAGCTGATAAACAAATTGAATTAAAGGCCATTAACATTTCACTGTAAGAATACTTGACTTTTTGTGTGTGTGTGTTGAGAAAAAATGTATATATCTTAACAGAGGTAACTCACCATGTTTGCTAATTAGAATAAATTAAAAAAATAACAATTGTGTAATGCTTTTGTTTTCCCAGCAGATGGCAGAAGCTGGCTTTTTCTGGTCTCAGCAGCTAAACAGGAGTTGGATGGGGACCATCTGGCTATATAACAAGATTGTGAAGTAAAGTAAGGAGTAAAAATCTCAAAACAAACGGGTGAAAGCAATGGCAAATTAATTCCTTAGCATTGCCAAGGAAATGGTACAATGGTGTGCTGTCAACAGTATTCAAGATTTGCATAAGCTGTGGAGCCAGCTGTTTATTTATATAGAATAGAATAGAATAGAATAGAATAGAATAGAATAGAACAGAACAGAACAGAGCAGAGCAGAATAGAATAGAGTAGAGTAGAGTAGAGTGGAGTGGAGTGGAGTGGAGTGGAGTGGAATGGAATGGAATGGAATAGAATAGAGCAGAATAGATTAGAATAGAGCAGAATGGAATGGAATGGAATAGAATAGAATAGAATAGAATAGAATAGAATAGAATAGAATAGAGCAGAATAGAATAGAGCAGAATAGAGCAGAATAGAATAGAATAGAGCAGAATAGAATAGAATAGAGCAGAATAGAATGGAATGGAATGGAATAGAATAGAATAAAGCAGAATAGAATAGAATAGAGCATAATGGAATGGAATGGAATGGAATGGAATGGAATAGAATAGAATAGAATAGAATAGAATAGAATAGAATAGAATAGAATAGAATAGAATAGAATAGAATGGAATGGAACAGAATAAAATAGAATAGAATAGAATAATACTTTATTTGATCAAGTGTGGTTAGAAACATATTCTTTTCAGCTTAAAAAAGGTAATTTATTACAGCTTCCTTGTGGAGGAATCAAGTTCAGAGACAACCTTGCATGATACTACGTGAAATAAATCTTCACACAGAGTCACTTTGCGGTGAGATGCGCAGGAAATAAATTTAATAAATAATAAATAAATCTTACATTTCATCAACCTTATTGGATGAAAAATGGTTCCAAAAACATATCTGCTCCTAACCATATAGCTTTATCATTTAATACCCAACTTAATATCCTTCTTCCCTAATTTAATAGCTAACTTGGATTTTTACACTTTATTTTTCTTATTTTTAAAATCTTTATCTATTGCTCGGTATATGTCTTTTTTCTGTATAAGCCTGTGCTTCTGATTCCTTAGGCCAAATTTTGATTTATTGACATGTAAATATATACTTCTATTAGACTGTTTTCTGCTGGACCCAAATTTGAAATATTAACAGACAATGGACACATTTTTTGCCAAGATAATGCATTTATGAGCAAAGATATCTTACAAAGCAGTCAGGAGCTATTCCTTAACACACACATATACACACAGAGAGAGGGGGGGAGGGAGGGGAGAGAGGGAGGGAGACTTTATAAAAGGGGTAGTGTTAGCCCAGACTATCTTAGTAACGGCCAGTAGAGAAATAGTAATTCTGTATTATAGAACCTTTATGCAGCCTGAAGCACATAAACAACAGTAGTCAGAGGAAGCAGAAAGCTAACGCTAGCTACCTCATTTCGAATAATCCTTAAAGTTGCCCAATCAACTTTTGGGACGCCCTGCCTCACTTGTTGATGAAACTGAAATCAACATCATCACGGTCGTTAGACATATCAAAACATTTTCATTTTGCTTCCCTTTCAAAACAACCCCCCCCAAAAAATCCGAGATGAAACTCAGCCAGTAAGCTCCGAGACTTGACAGTCTGTCTCTCTCTCTCTCTCTCTCTCTCTCTTTCCCCCCCCTCCTCCTCCTCCTCCTGCCCCGCCCGGCGCCCCCGGTGGCGAGGCGGAGCGAAGCGGCGCGTGTGTGGCTGCCGGTCCTTTTCCAGGCCACGCTGCCGGGAGGGGGGGCGGGGTGGGAGTCCGGGACTGTTTGTACCCGCCCGTCTGCTGTTGTATCAAAAGAGCCGCTCGGAGGGGCTGGCGGCTTCTCTTCCTCCTGGCTGCCTGTCGGCGCTGCGCTCAGTTGCTGGTCCTTTCACTTTTTTGCTTGACGGCTCAGCGGCGGGGGCAGCTTCTGGACTCGGGCCGGGCTCCCTTCCTGGCAGCAGCCCCTCTTCTGGCGGAGAAGCGGGAATCCTCGACAGGATCCGGGCAAAGGAGCGCACGCACGCCTGCCCGGGATCTCAGCCGTCGGCCGTTGCGCGCCACAGGTTGCCGTCCTCCTGGGGCCCCCGCCGCAGCTGCCGCATGAGGTTCGCTGGGCGACGGGCAAATTTCCGAGGAAGCTGCGCCGCTCTCTCGCTCCGTCGCCGGTGCCCGCAGCCCCGTCTCCCTGCCGCCGGGGCCATGAACTCCACGCTGGGCAACCAGACGGAGGTGCTGGGGCTGCTGCTGGCCAACGGCACTGACTCGCTGGAGTGGGCGCTCCAGTCCTTCACGCCCAAGTCCGTGGTGACCGACGACGGCTTCGTGGTGACGGCGCCCGACGAGCGGAGCCTCTACATCATGCGGGTGGTGCAGATCGCCGTCATGTGCGTCCTGTCGCTCACCGTCGTCTTCGGCATCTTCTTCCTCGGCTGCAACCTGCTCATCAAGTCCGAAGGCATGATCAACTTCCTGGTGAAGGAGCGGAGGCCGTCCAAGGAGGTGGAGGCGGTGGCGGTGGGGCCCTACTGACCGCGGCGCCGCCCACGAGCCCGCTTGGCCTCTCCAGCCGCGGACGGGACTCGGATAGAGGACCTTGTGCTGCTCCTGCGGCTGCCGTTCCCGGAAGGCGATGCCGACCGTGGAAGCAATTCCGGGCAGACGAGGACAAGCGACCCTGTTTCCTCGACGGGACCGGTGTATGAGTAGTAGCGGGACTCTATCCGAAGCTAACTGCGACGACTTGGGACTGGGCGCGGGGAAGGGGTTTACAGGACTTCCCTCGACCTTCCGGACAGGTGGGGAAGAGCTCCGACCTCCACCTGCAGTGGGGACAGCGGGGGTCCCGCGGTGGAGTAAAGTGATGGGACAGAGATGGCGAAGCTCTTGAATGTCATTCGGTGTTCTGTATATAACGCTGTAAATGTCACCAGCTAAAACATTTCCAGTTTTGACGCTTTGTTTTCAGGGGAAGGGGGAGGAGAGAGGGAGAAATTGATCTTAAAGTTTAATTGTAAAAAAAAACAAAACACTTTTGCTCTCTTTTAAGATACTTTCCTTCCAGATTTGAATTGAGGGGGAGGGATGGACACGTCCAATGTGAGGGGTTGATTTTGGTGCTTTGGGTGCGTGGTGTCACTTTGGGCTCGATTGTCTATATAACAGAAACTCCTGTGCTGATGTGTGAATGACCGTTTCGATTCATCTATTTCTGCTGTAAAGTCTCCTTTTTAAAACGGTAGTCTCCTTCTTGTTTTTTGTTCCTATCACTTCTTGCACAGATTGTCCACAGTTTAAAAAAAAACAACAACCCAGTGTGTTTGACCATTGGGCTCGTAGCTTTAGAAATCGTGTCATTTTAATTAAAAACTGCCTGAGTCTTTTCACCCAGGTCTCCTGCCACAGTTTTCTACTGAAATTCAGGGAAGCCGTGACCAGCATTGGAAAGATGGAGAGAGCACGTGGAATTGCATACTGTCCAGCAAATCAAGTCCCGAGAATGAGGAATGGGGAGAAAAGTGTTAAAAGCGATAAAGAAACGGAGAGAACAGATGGTCCCCGAGTTACAATGGAACCTGTGTTTTGCTTTACAGCCACAACAACAAAAGTTAAGGTTCAGATTCTGCCTCTTCTTCGTGATCTTTATGAGGTATGGATTCAAGAGGAAAGATGTGCGGGATGATAAGGTTTCAGTTGTGGAGATGATCCATTTAGGAATATTATGCAATTATTCCTAATGGAAGATAAAGAATAGCAATTCTACGAATGCATTTATTTAGACAGCAAACCAATGATAGCAAAGCATTAATTGAATCAGACTTTGTCTCCTTAGCTGAACCAGCGATTTGAATCAAGCCAAACAGCTGTGTTTTTTTTCTAAGCTTCTGTCTTCTTTCCTTTTGTGGAATAAGAAACAGAAGCATAGGAAAGCACTGAATATCCTTTCTTATACATTCAAACTTATAAACAGGGTAACTTCATGAAAGAAAATGACATCCCAAGTTAGAAATACTTAACAAAAACTCCGTCTCCTTTGCTTTCTTGCAGTCCGAGATTACCTCCCACAGCTTCGTTTTCTAATCCTTCCTTTATTTTGTTTTTAAATAAAAATACATGATTCATTCCTGTGGCATAGCATCCAATTATTCTATAACCGTATTTTAATGAGACTAGTTAAAAACTGGTACATTTTTTTTTAAGAGTAGGAAAAAAACATAGCTGCCTTCCCTTTTCATCTTCTCATTTTGCAAAGGGAAGAACATAGATTGTGTACTGGCCTCAAAGAGGGAGGCGTTGAAATAAAACATATGCCACAATAAAAACTGAGCTGTTACGTTAATGGAAAGCCATGATCTAAAATAGCCTTCCCCACTTTGGTGCTCTCCAGGTATCCTGAATACAATCCTCCTCATCCCGTGCCAGACAATGCTAGGGAGGGGCTGAGCCGAACGAAAAAGGTGAGAGGTAATTGCTATGTGGTGTGCACATAAGCATGGAGGACAATCTCAGGTATATCTTGTGCACGGAAGAGGAAATTATCACAGAAATATAACAGCAAAGGAAGCAGAAGAATAACAAGAGCAAAAAAATAAGGGATAAATGAGAAGGAATAGTGGCATAGAAAAGGCAAATTACATTTAAGTCCAATCAAGGACCGTTATCTCCCCATTCCCTTCGAACTTCCACCCTGGGTCTTGAGTTGGATGCAGCCAGTGGGGGAAAGGAAAGCAAATTTAAATTGATCAGTGTGACCTGTTAGAAGCCACAAAGCCGGAAACTACAAATCTCTGTTTTGATCTAAACAGTATTCTTTGCCTCTACCGTTTATAAAAGAATAACCTTGCTCACACAGATTAAGTGCAAGATGCCCTTTATTCATTCCTGATGGATTGTTTCTGGAAAGAATAATAATAATAATATTTTTTTAAAAACCTCTCAACCCCAGAAGAACCCAGAAACTTGGAATGGTTGAAAGTAGAAAATACCTGAAAGAGTCCACCAAGGAGCTGATTGGTTGACTCCGTAAGAAAGCTCTGGATACATTTTTAATTTCAGATTGGAAAGGATCAGCCAGTGATGGAGACTTCACTGCATTGTTACGCAGATGTCTTCTACGATACCACCAGACATTCATGGGCTTGGGAGCATGCCACTTTCGTCAAACTGTCAAAAGTAGTGTTGTGCTGTGAGCTTTGCCTCTTTCTTACGTGCGCAATGTCACAACGCTTGCCTGCTCACACTGCAATATCATTTTTATTAACTAATTAAGTGAAGCTAAAACAAAATAAAAAAAAATATTTTTTATTTTTAAAATTAAAGTCATTCAAAAGGGAGTACCTAAAAGAAAAGTGCTTAGCTGCCTGGAAGAGGTGCACAAGGAAGCATTTGTGTTGTCTTCCTATCCTAGTGTCAAACTGTTGTACTTAGGAGGTCACTAGGATTGAACCCTGGCACAAATTAAGGGGACATTTTGCAGAAGACCTGATTCTAGCTATTTAAAATTAGACAATTAACCAAAGAAATAAGCCCCCCGCTTTTTTTTCCCTCAACCAGAAAAAAAAGGATACCTGGTTGAGATCTTATAATACTGTCATGCTGCCAGCTCCACTTACCGTTATGGTAACCACATAAATTATACAATATGCAGAATTCTCTGGAGAAGGAAGCAGCAAGGGATGGAAGTTCAATCACAGTAATTGCTATGTGGTGTATCCTGTCTAATACGTCCAGTGAACCGGGTGCTTTCTTGGTTTGAAAGATAACAGAAGATTTCTAATTTAAACTGTGCACTTCAGTATTTATGAAAGTATTGAAACTTCCCATAAATATTTTAGTTATCTTTCCATGTACTATTATATCCAGCAGAAGTGACCACATGGCTAAGATGAGATTCAAATGAATGGCAAAACTCCCAGGGGTATAAATCAACTCTGGATTCCAATCAGCAAAAGCTTTGATTTGTTGTTATTCAAGATGCGTATACTGTGACAAAACACGAAATTCTATCTTCCTGCAATTTATGGCAGGGTCATAGCACTTTTGACTGATTATATTTTCCAAATGCTTTCAAACAAAAGGTTACAAAAGAGCTCACTTCAGAAATCTGAATTATAATCTTGTTTCTTATTCAGGACATTTAAAATGAACACATACCTCCTCATGGAAGCAGATACACTCATTTCTTTCTTGAACCTCTTCAAATTGCAAACAAATCAAATCAACTTTTATTCTTGTGTTCAAAGACTAGCATGTCAAAATAAATTGGAATCAATACAACCAAAAGATGAAATTAATGAAATTAATTTGAAGTCCAAATTTAGAGATGTTCATATTTGTGCCAGGAGAGCTGTGTTCCCACACAAAATTTGGCTCCTATGTTCCTGGTAACCAAGCTGTAGCCCAAAAATGAACATCTGTCCATTGTAATAAAGCAGTACATGGGGAATGATTTCTGGATTATATCCAGAGCTGTAAAGACAGGTGTCTCCTATTCTTGGGTCTTGTGAATCTATCCTGGGGGGAAGCTGATGGAAGCACCTGGTGCCTAGCTCTAAAAAGCTCCCTCCTTAACCTAAGGATGGTTAACCTGTATGAACAGCTTGCAGGTCACCATGTAGCTTTTGCTGTCAGAGCTCTGCTGCTCCAGGACAGGGTCCTAATTTCAATCTCACATTCCATCTCATTCAACCTTTGAAGACTGTCCTTTTCACCCCATCAGGACCAGATGGTATGAGCAAGTCTATGGTAAGATCAGAACATTTTAGTTTCTCATTCATTGCTAACATCCATAGTGAGAGAGAGTCATCCTTCAGAATGATTGGAACCAGGCCATTGGGAAAGAATGGTGGCATTCTTGGTTTATGGCCATAAGATCTTGTTGCAGTTTCTTATCCGTCAATGCCTGATCATCTGCAAAGAGTAGTTCGTTGATATTATTTCCATTCTTGGGTTTGGCTTCTTTGCTTATGCTGTCAATGTAGGTCAGGGGTCTTCAAACTTGGCCCTTTTATGACTTGTAGACTTCAACTCCCAGAATTCCTGAGCCAGCTATGCTGAGGGGAAAGGTAGAGGTTTCCAAGCTGAGCCATGGTGGCTCAGGAATTCTGGGAGTTGAAGTCCATGAGTCATAAAAGAGCCAAGGTTGCCTACCCCTGGTATAGTTACTGTATTATGCTGAAGGATATCTGCCCTCTCTCATGTAAAATTGGCCAGATTTCCCTGTTTATGTCTCATTATTCCCTGAAAAAAATGTTTTGTTTCGTGGGGGGGGGGGGGACTTTGATGATTTCTCTGCAAACCCCCCCCCCAATTTTGTCTCCATCTCTATAGTCTTCCATTAAAAATGCCGAATTCTGTGGAGAAGATGAATTGTTTTTAACTACAGGAGGTGTTTGAGGATGTAAGAGTAGTGTGCTAATCATTTCTAGAATGAAATAGGTCTTTCTTACATTCATGATATTGCTTATTGAAAATTTGAGGCCCTGTAGATGTTGGATTTCAACATTTCAACAAGCCGCATAATCCAGGTATCA